GTTTATTGCGACAGGCAGGCACTAACCAATCCACTGGTCGGCTGCCAAGAGGGTACTGCGGTATCTGGCGAGTATATCAAGACTTGGGCTTGTACTAGGAGGATGGGAGCCAGTGGTGCTCACTAGACACACAGACACGTCGTGTGCTGACGACTTGGAGACGCTCGGGTCCTTACAGGAGTACTGCTTTAGTCTTGGTTCTGGGACAGTCTCGTGGAGGTCCACTAGGTGGTCGTCTGTAGCTCAGTCCAGCCGTGAGGCAGAGATCCATGCTGGGGCCATGGCCGCTCAGGAGCTCCGCTGGCTGACGTTCTTACTCATCAACTTAGGTGAGCAGCCAAGGTCTGTCCCGGTCCTATTTACTGACAACGGGGCCATGATCTTCCTGTGTCGGGAGGCTCGACTTGAGGGCAGGGCGAAGCACATCCAGCTGCGGTACTTCTTGCCGCGTGAGCTGCAGCAGCGCGTTCAAGCTCGTATTGTACCATTGGCGTCAGAGGCCAAAATTGCTTATATCTGCACCAAGGTACTACCGTCTGGTGACCATCAACGGTTCAGTTTTCAGCTTGATATTGATATATGCTATACCTGCTTGTACTTCTTGTTCTATACGGGTCTGTCTTGCTACACTTGCTGACTGGCCTTGTGGCCTTTTGTCTTAGTGGTCAGGCTAGTAGTGCTACCCTGATTTGTCTTGTTATCTTCGATAGAGGCCAGACTAGTAACGTTGCCTCTACCTAGTCTAGTTGGTGTGTCAACAAACATATATTTATGTATAATTAGGTTAGGTATGTTTGTATAACCTAGCTAGGTCAGCTCTTAGAGGGGACAATTCACTCTACTATCTCCCCTCCCCTCTTCCTAGTCCAATTTTTCTTGCTATCTTGACTAGTAAAGCTAGACAGCTAGCACGCTTTTGTGCAGGTTTTTTCTCAACTGATTTGTCAAAGCCCATGCATGTGTACACATAATTGGCTACGACCATCAATAAAACTTAAAACTTGATTGAAAATGCCACATACTTCTATTTTGTTTCCATCTTCCATAAACAATAAAAACCCGTGGCACCAGGCCCCCAAATTGGTTTTGGGCCTGTTTGATTCGTTAGAGTCCCCTGCCTTCCCTTGGTATGGGTTTCAGAGTTACCTCCTTGAAAAAAGTCTGAAAAATCAGAGTAGCCTTCGATTCTTTGTTTGGCCAATCAGAGTCATAGCCAAACTTTTGTATGAGCCTTTTTTATGGTTCTTCATTACACAATGCACTACATTTCACTACATACACGGAATCAGTCAATACCCTGCATATCCTGCTGAGGCGCTGCCGGCTTATCATCATCTACTTTCTTCTTTCCCTTCCTGCTGCTACTGGCCTCGGGCAGGGCATTGCTAAGGGGCTTCCTCTTCTTATAAGCCCGCCAGATGGTGACCACCTCGTCCCAGTCGGGGTCATACTCTAGCTGCAACATGCACATCAGATCTCCTAGCCTAGTATCCTTGAGAGCCCCCCGCAACCAACTCTTGATGACGTTCTGGCGGGAGAATCCGCGCTCGCACTCGACAGTGCTCAACGGAAGGACAGCCATCGCCACCCACAGGTTGATCAGGTTGGGGTAGCTGTCACTCCAGTCCTGCATCTTGAGCATGGCGCTCAGCCCCGCATGGAATGACTTGTCCGCCTTGGGAAGCGCAGCAAGGACGGGAACGAAGTTGCGGAGCTCGCTCTGGGCTTTGCGTTTGTCTATACCTGATCAGACAAGGGCACACAAGGAGAGGGAGAAGGGTTGGGTTATCGAAAACAGTACACAGCTAGTAAAAGATTTGTGTCTTGTTTCAGATACATTGCTGAAGGGATACTGGAAGGAGTAGATGATGATTCACCTGGCAGAATCTCGTCCCTGTCTTCAGCGCGGTAGATGACCAGAAGCGAGTTGAACCACTCGAGGCACTGCGTCCTCCGTGCCTGTCGGTCCCAGTTGGGCGGCCATGTGTCGACGCTGAACAGGTGCGCTCCCGACAGCTGCCGCAGATCGCCTAGGCGCTCGTCGAGGTTGCGGACCAGGCCCTCCGCTAGAGCCATGCATGCCACGACACTCCCATCGTGGTCGCTGGGCCCCGGGTAGTCCTCTTGGGGCTCTTCGTGCAGCTCGAAGGTGAACCGTGAAGGTCGGCCATCGGAGTCAATCCCCTCCACTGTCACTAGCTTGGACTTGCCGGGCCTGTGCTTGGCGAGGAACCGCGTCAATTGATCGTTGGGCCCGCCGGTAAAGTTGTCCCCGCAGTCCACGTAGCAGCTCTCTAGCAGTGAGGTCATGTGGATGATCTGCGCGTGCACCGTTGTGTAGTCCAGCTGGTGGGTAGGGGGTCGAGGAGAGGTAGGGCATCACAGACGGATGTGTGGTTAAGGGACGAGCGGAAGAGACAAGCAACATCGACATACATGCAAATAGACACATTTAACATTTTTACCTCCCGCTGCTGGAAAACCTTGTTGAGGACGTTCAGCAGCTCCAGCACGTCGGCAAGGAACATCAAGAGGAGCCATAAGCGGTAACTGGTGACGAGCGCGTACAGCTTGGCGTCGTACTCCTGCAGTATAACCACGATGGCTGGTAGGACTTCGACCAGGCGGATGACCACATCTCCGCGCAACAGCTAGCGGATGTTGTGGATCCCCTAGAGCACGAGGTTCATCGACATGAACACCTCCTTGAGCTCCAGGAACCGTTGATGCCAAGGGTTGGAGCGACCGAGCAGCTCAGCAATCTCGTGAATAATGTTGTCCACCATGCTGAAGACAGGGATCTCCTCGGCAGCAGCCTTTACCGCCAGCGCCTCTCTGCGTGGAATAAAGAGATGAGATGCAAACTAGGAAGCAAATTAAGGATTGGACTTATAAACAAAACAAGAAGCAAATATACATGACATGCACACAGCAAACGGATGACGAACCGATGGGCAATGCAATGGCAAGAGACAAGGTGCGAAACGCGAAGACGAAGGCGAGCTACAAGTCAAGAGCGCAATCCCATGATGACGGCAGCGCCGTCAGTGCTTATGCCAGAGATGCGGCCGAGGTCGACGCCAATCGCCCGCAGATGGGACAACAAGAGGGCGAGAAGCGATGCCGCATCCGCCTTATCCACTGTCAACAGAGCCAGGTACTAGGTTACAAGCCGCCCTTCCCGGACAACGTGGCAAACACGATCATATGCTTGCCACGGCAGCGCTCGGTGCTTTCGTCGAGGCTCAGGCCAATGTAGGGACTCGCCAGCAGGTGTTGGAGTTGAGTCGTTTGCAGCCACGTTGCCGTCTCTTGTGTCAGCTTGCCGAAGCCGTACCTGTTACATGACACGCACAAGCCCATTTGTTGTACGTTCCATATCTAAAGACGAGACAGAGAGAATTTCATAGTCACTGGAGTTCTCACCAGTTATAGTACGTGCCGTAGGCAGACTTCGAGAAGCCCTTGAAATTGCGCGATGAGAGGTATCGCACCAAACGAATCCATGTTTCCATGGGTTCGTTACACTTGGCACAGAAGTAGAGGGAGTCGAGCAGCACGATGACTCGCTCCTTCTCTTCGTCGGCCGCGTGGGGATGCATGTCGATCCGCTGCTGGTTCGACGCCAGTTGCAGGAGATCGTCCTGCTTGGACATGGCGAGGCGATGCTTCTGCGTCCCGGCGTGCTTCTTGAACGACTGGGTCTGCACGTCCTTTGCTCCCTTGCCCGATTTGCCGATATGCCCTGCAGGTCTTGCATGCACTGCACATACACTGCACTTGAAGGCCGGGAGCCCATCGTCAGTTTTCAAGAGCATGAGCCAAGGGAATCTGTCAGACCAGCGAGATTTGAAACGCTCTTGTGCCTCAGCATAGATGTCCTCGTTCGTTCTAGCAGTGGACCTACCGCCATATGATTCTGGCGTATCCGCAGGTACAAAGAGGCTCGGCACAGGCTCAGGCGGATCCTGGCATGTCGACATGGAGGCGTACAGCAGAATCACCCTCCTGTACCGGAACCTCTTCGCCGCCGTCACCGATGGCGTGGTGCCGGCGACAAGAGCTAAAGCAGCGGGCAGGGGGCTTGCATCCGCAGAATTCTTGCCCGCTGCGTCGGGAACAGGCGCATCGCCATCAGCAGGGGCAGCGTCTCTAGGCTTCCTCTGAGGGCTACGATCTGAGGCATCCGACTGCCGCAGGAACTTTAGGGCGGCGGGACCATCGCGGAAATTCTCAGCACACCAGTACTCTTTTTCTTGTTCGTCATAATCTGCCTCGTCTACATCCTCATCGAGGTCGGCCTGCTCCATGGCCTGCAGGCGCGGTGGGAAAACAAACGCACTGAAAGAAAACCGAGGGGCTACATGAAGCTTGGGTGAAGTTTTGCTGGAGGAGGGAGAAGCAGGGTTGTTTTCCCCGTCAGTAATGAACTGATGGAGAAGGAGGGGGTCTGCCAGCTGCAACTCCATCGCGGCGCGCGAGATGCTGTCCATGCATAAATGAACCAGGCACTCGTCGCGTCAGCATGGGTGCGGTGCCTCGTCTGTTGTGCCTCACCCAGCAAAATGCCTCTGGATTGGCGAAAACAGCCGTGTTTTGGTCAAGGACCAATCGGCTGCTCGGGCTATCTCTGTGCTGGCGCCATCGCACAAAATTTGCCCGCCGACGGCTCGGGCTGCGCCAGCGCAAATATAAATCTGGCGTGATTGACGGTGACGACAGTACCAGTGCAAATCTCGCAACCCCCCCTCAAATGACGGTATTACAGGAATCAGAGTCCCCCCCCCATACAAGGATGAAGCATCAGAGTACACTTGTAAAAGAAGTCTGAAAAATCAGTGTAGGTACATAAAACTTCTCTGAAAAATCAGAGTAACATAGAAAAAAAAGTATTTGGGATCAGAGTACACCCCCAAAAAAACTATGAAAAAAGTTTGAATCAGAGTAATAAAAAGTCTGCAATTTGGGGGCCGTGGCACCTTACGATCATGTTTTCTAGTAATGACGTTGGCCTCGATTAGAGCGAGCAAAATCAGCCAGTGAGGTTGCCTGCGGGAGCACGGCGCAGCGCCATGCCCACCAAGCCCTCACGGCGCGCGCAGCCAGGCAGCGCCACGAGCTCGTCGGGGGGCACCGCGGATGCACCGCTTCCGCCGTCGCTCTTCGCCAAGGGCCCTTTCCCCTTGCGCGCTGCCCTCCTCGCCTCCGCCGCCGTCCCCGACGCCCTTCCACCAGGCCCGCCAGGCGGAGCGGCGCAGCCGGCGGGCGTCGAGTCGCCGTCGCAGTGCCGCCAATCGGCAATCGCCCCCCCGTCGAGTGACGGTCGCGATGACAGCTTCCACGGCGCGGAGGGCGCTATCGGCGCAGAGGGCGCGCGGAGGGGGGGCGAGACGGAGAGTGCGGGCAGCGAGGGCAGCGGGGGCGTGGGCGATGCGCGTCGAGGGCTGACGTGCTGGACGTGCGGCGAGGCGTTCGCCGACGTGCCACAGCAGCGCGCGCACTGCAAGGCGGACTGGCACCGCCTCAACGTCAGACCCCTCGCCGTGGCCCCTCGCTCCCATGCGTCCACCGTCCCTTGCCCCCATGCTGCACCCTCCCATGCTGCACCCTCCCATGCTGCACCCTCCCATGCTGCACCCTCCCATGTCGCCACCCTCCCATGCTGCACCCTCCCATGCCCCTATGCCTCCAGGCTCCATGCATCTGCCCTCCCGTCGCTTTGTCACCCGCCGTCGCTTTCCGAGCTCGCGCCCATCCCCCCCATGCAACCCACGCCCTCCCCCCTCCCCACTCTTCCTTACCCCCTCCCCCCTCCCCCCTTCCCCCAGGTGAAGCGCCGAGCATCCGGGCGGCCCGCACTGGCAGAAGACGCCTTCACGGCGCTGGTGGAGAGGAGGGGCGCGCAGGGGGCGGGCGGAGGGCAGGGCAGGGGGGAGCAGGGGAGGGGCAGAGGCCGGCAGGGCAAGGCGGATGCGGTGGGGGGCACAGCGGGGCGGGGCGAGGGCGGAGCAGTGGAGGGCGAGGGGGAAGGCCGGGGGGGCGATGATGAGGACGACTGGTCGAGCATCTCCGGGTCGGAGGACGAGGAAGAGGGGGGGGAGGGAGACGAGCAGGGGGGGGAAGAGGGCAGGGCGGCAGGCAGGTCGCCCAAGGTGCACTTCGTGCTGCCAGAGACAGGCGACACATTCGCGCTTTGGAGAGTGCTCTTCTCACCAGGTGCTCTTCTCACCAGGTGCTCTTCTCACCAGGTGCTCTTCTCACCAGGTGCTCTTCTCTCCAGGTGCTCTTCTCTCCAGGTGCTCTTCTCACCAGGTGCTCTTCTCACCAGGTGCTCTTCTCACCAGGTGCTCTTCTCTCCAGGTGCTCTTCTCACCAGGTGCTCTTCTCACTAGGTGCTCTTCTCACCAGGCGCTCTTCTCACCAGGAGGCTGTTCGTGAGACCCACCAGGAACCCACCACGCCAGCCCGAGTCACGCTGGAACGAAGGCTCTCCTACCAAACCAAAACGAGGATAAGACAATCAACCCGCATGTGCGGGTAATCTGATAGCGTAGTTAGAAAAGCCAAACAGAAAACCGCATTGTTCAAACCAACAGTGCACATAAACGACAGGGGCACCATGTGCTTTCCACAGTGACCTACCAACCTCGAGGAGAGCTGATGCACGTCCAGGAAAGAAGGTAGACGAAAAAGGGAACTCCTTCACGGAAAAAACACTACAGCCCCACACCGAAAAATTGCACTTGTAATTTGGACAAGGGTAACTAGTGAGCATTCGAACACAAAAGGCAGAGCCATATCACGAAGTGGGGCTATTGGGGTGCGCTTCGATTCTTACCAGCGGCCGTCCTCACGCTGCTCCAACTTTGATGGCCCATCCCTGGTGGCTCCCTGGCCCCCGAAACGCGGGGACCAGCGATCCGGCGAGCTCCTACCAGTGTTTCCCTGTAGAGCACTGTTTCCCTGTAGAGCACTGTTTCCCTGTAGAGCACTGTTTCCCTGTAGAGCACTGTTTCCCTGTAGAGCACTGTTTCCCTGTAGAGCACTGTTTCCCTGTAGAGCACTGTTTCCCTGTAGAGCACTGTTTCCCTGTAGAGCACTGTTCCCTGTAGAGCACTGTTTCCCTGTAGAGCACTGTTTCCCTGTAGAGCACTGTTTCCCTGTAGAGCACTGTTTCCCTGTAGAGCACTGTTTCCCTGTAGAGCACTGTTTCCCTGTAGAGCACTGTTTCCCTGTAGAGCACTGTTTCCCTGTAGAGCACTGTTTCCCTGTAGAGCACTGTTTCCCTGTAGAGCACTGTTTCCCTGTAGAGCACTGTTTCCCTGTAGAGCACTGTTTCCCTGTAGAGCACTGTTTCCCTGTAGAGCACTGTTTCCCTGTAGAGCACTGTTTCCCTGTAGAGCACTGTTTCCCTGTAGAGCACTGTTTCCCTGTAGAGCACTGTTTCCCTGTAGAGCACTGTTTCCCTGTAGAGCACTGTTTCCCTGTAGAGCACTGTTTCCCTGTAGAGCACTGTTTCCCTGTAGAGCACTGTTTCCCTGTAGAACACTTTTTCCCTGTAGAGCACTGTTTCCCTGTAGAGCACTGTTTGCCCTTTTAGATTCACTGTTGAGCTTCCCAGCATTCGACCGGGGACCCCCCGGTTCCAGCCTCACCATTCCGACGAGGCTGATTTGGAGGTACGTGGCGGTCGCAGCCCGGCTCGGCAGGTCGCTTGGCAACAGCGCATGTGTCGAACCTGTCTGGCAGGATCCTGGTGGGTCCCCGGTTGGGCAAGCGAACAACGCCCAGGTGCTCTTCTCACCAGGTGCTCTTCTCACCAGGTGCTCTTCTCACCAGGTGCTCTTCTCACCAGGTGCGCGGGTGGCGCGTTAGAGGCGGTGGCGCTGTGCCCCGCCCCCTCTTTCATGCCCTGCTGCGTGGCGTGCTGCGCTGCGTGGCGTGCTGCGCTGCGTGGCGTGCTGCGCTGCGTGGCGTGCTGCGCTGCGTGGCGTGCTGCGCTGCGTGGCGTGCTGTGCTGCGTGGCATGCTGTGCTGCGTGGCATGCTGTGCTGCGTGGCATGCTGTGCTGCGTGGCATGCTGTGCTGCGTGGCGTGCTGTGCTGCGTGATATGCTGTGCTGCGTGGCATGCTGTGCTGCGTGGCATGCTGTGCTGCGTGATATGCTGTGCTGCGTGGCATGCTGTGCTGCGTGGCATGCTGTGCTGCGTGGCGTGCTGTGCTGCGTGGCGTGCTGTGCTGCGTGATATGCTGTGCTGCGTGGCATGCTGTGCTGCGTGATATGCTGTGCTGCGTGATATGCTGTGCTGCGTGGCATGCTGTGCTGCGTGATATGCTGTGCTGCGTGATATGCTGTGCTGCGTGGCATGCTGTGCTGCGTGGCATGCTGTGCTGCGTGATATGCTGTGCTGCGTGGCGTGCTGTGCTGCGTGGCATGCTGTGCTGCGTGGCGTGCTGTGCTGCGTGGCGTGCTGTGCTGCGTGATATGCTGTGCTGCGTGGCATGCTGTGCTGCGTGATATGCTGTGCTGCGTGATATGCTGTGCTGCGTGGCATGCTGTGCTGCGTGATATGCTGTGCTGCGTGATATGCTGTGCTGCGTGGCATGCTGTGCTGCGTGGCATGCTGTGCTGCGTGGCGTGCTGTGCTGCGTGGCGTGCTGTGCTGCGTGATATGCTGTGCTGCGTGGCATGCTGTGCTGCGTGATATGCTGTGCTGCGTGATATGCTGTGCTGCGTGGCATGCTGTGCTGCGTGATATGCTGTGCTGCGTGGCATGCTGTGCTGCGTGGCATGCTGTGCTGCGTGGCATGCTGTGCTGCGTGGCATGCTGTGCTGCGTGGCGTGCTGTGCTGCGTGGCGTGCTGTGCTGCGTGATATGCTGTGCTGCGTGGCATGCTGTGCTGCGTGATATGCTGTGCTGCGTGATATGCTGTGCTGCGTGGCATGCTGTGCTGCGTGATATGCTGTGCTGCGTGATATGCTGTGCTGCGTGGCATGCTGTGCTGCGTGGCGTGCTGTGCTGCGTGGCGTGCTGTGCTGCGTGGCGTGCTGTGCTGCGTGATATGCTGTGCTGCGTGGCATGCTGTGATGCGTGATATGCTGTGCTGCGTGATATGCTGTGCTGCGTGGCATGCTGTGCTGCGTGATATGCTGTGCTGCGTGGCATGCTGTGCTGCGTGGCATGCTGTGCTGCGTGGCATGCTGTGCTGCGTGGCGTGCTGTGCTGCGTGGCGTGCTGTGCTGCGTGGCGTGCTGCGCTGCGTGGCGTGCTGCGCTGCGTGGCGTGCTGCGCTGCGTGGCGTGCTGCGCTGCGTGGCGTGCTGCGCTGCGTGGCGTGCTGCGCTGCGTGGCATGCTGCGCTGCGTGGCATGCTGTGCTGCATGGCATGCTGTGCTGCGTGTCATGCTCTGCTGCATGGCATGCTGTGCTATCTCCATGCCATGCCCTGCTCGCCATTCCTCACCCCGCACTGCTCACCATTTTTCCCCCACCAGGGGAGGGCGCTGACCTGCTGCAGGAGCTGGTGGCGCTGGGGGGCGGGGCAGGGGGGGAGAGAGGGGGGGCATTCAGAGCATGTGGGGAGGGGAGTGTGGAGGGAGGGGAAGCAGATGAGGGGAGGAGCAAGGGCGAGGGTGGTGCGGGTGGTGAGCGGGGAGACTCGAGTAGCGGCCGCACAGGCGGTGGGGCGCCACAAATGCAGGCAGGGGCGGGGGCCGGGCTGGTGGGGAAGGCTATGGGGAGGGGGGAGGGGAAAGGGGGGCAGGAGGGGGCGGGCAGTGGGCACGGGTTGGAGCGGGTGTGGGTGGTTGTGCTGAGCTCGGGGGGGCACTTCTCAGCGGCCGTGCTGGACGCCGCTGCTGAGGGCGCCGTGCTGGCGCACCGCTCCTTCCACCGGTCAGTGGGGGGCACGCATGGGTGATGGGGGGCAGGGTGATGGGAGAGAACGGTTTTGCGAGGTGAGAACAAGGGAGTGTGTAGTCATTGGGGTGGTGCTGATTGGTTCTCGTGCGTTGCAAGCCAGTCTTGGAACGGCCATGGTTTGTGAGCTTGTGAGATGGGCATGTGCACATGGCTCCCCCCCTCCCCAGGTACGTGGTGCGCGCCAAGGCGGGCGGGCGGCAGGCCACGAGGGACGGCACGGGCAGGGCGCCGCAGTCAGCGGGGGCCAGCCTGAGGCGCTACAACGAGTCGGCGCTTGTCAAGGTGGGGCGCTCGCCAAGGTGGATGATGGTAGGGCATGTGGATGATGGTAGGGCATGTGGATGATGAAACGCCTGCTGGACTACGAGTATCTATATGCTCCATTTCCACTGTCTTGGAATAACCCTCTTTTCCGTTTTCCTGCCTCCTCTCCTCCCACACAGGTTTCCTGGTTCTCCCCTAGGTAACGCTGGCTGTGACGACGCATGCGTCGGGACGAATCCTCGCTCTCCCATTCGTCCAGCGTTCCCTCCTTTCTTTGGACCTCTTCTCTCTCCCCCTGTCTGCCTCCCATTCCACCCCCCTGCCTCAGGACATCCGTGCGTTGCTGCAGCAGTGGCAGCCGTACCTGCATCGAGCGCAATTCATATTCGTGCATGCGCCATCAGCCAACCGCGCCGCCCTCTTCGGCACGGCAGCAGAGGCCCACGCCTCCCAGGGAGCGGCAGGGGCGCCCGTGCTGCTGAGCGCCCGGGACCCGCGTGTGCGACGCGTGCCCTTCCCCGTGCGGCGGCCCACGTTCAAGGAGGCGCTCAGGGTGGCGCGCACTCTGGCGCACGTGCAGGTGGTGGGCGTGCGGCGGGCGGGCGGAGAGGGTCACCATGCCACGACGGCGGCAGGGGCAGTGGGCGGAGAGGAGGGGGCAGAGGGCAGAGAGGCACAGCAGGAGAGGAGTATTGTGGAGGGACGGGCGGAATCAAGTGGGGGGGAGGGGGGCAACGGAGAAGTGGAGGCGAGGGGAGAGGGCAGTGGAGGGGAAATTGAGGAGGAGGGGGGAAGTGGGGGAGGGCGAGGGTCGGGTAAAACTGAACTACATGTGGCCGCTGCTGCAGGTGGGTGTGGTGGCCGTCTGGTGGTCAGGTGGTGGGCATGTGGTGGGCGTGTGGTGGGCGTGTGGCGCTGTGTGATGGGTTTGTGGTGGGAATGGTGAATGAACGATGCAGTCTAAGGTGAGAGTAGGCTGGCTGTATGGTATATGCCACGAACCCACTGGTTTGCACAAATGCATTGGTTGCATCCGAGCGGAGTTTTCATATTGTTAAGGTGCTACTGAGTCGGGTAAGCTTTTGTGGTAGCTAGGAAAAAGCGCAGGTATTGCTGTCTATGGAGCCCTCCACTGCTCTCTATCCCCCGCCCTCTCTCCCCCCTGCAGGCAACCACGCCGAGGTCACGCGTCTGCTGCAGGAGGGCTGTGACCCCACGGCTCGGGACGGCAGGGGGCGCGTGCCGTACGTGGTGGCAGCGAACCGCGCCACTCGGGACGCGTTCCGGCGGTTCATGGCGGGGCGCGAGGCGCAGTGGGACTGGCACGCCGCCCAGGTTCCCAGCGCACTCACCGAGGAGCTGCAGGCCAGCCAGGCCGCCCGCCAGGTGGGGGGACGCCTACTCACAGTGCACGACTCACCCTTGTATTCTCCAGTGGCTGCTCGAGTTGCCCATGGCCTAGCTGCTTGCGTTCCCATGTGATGCAGAGTGTGCCGTGCGATGCAGAGTGTGCCGTGCGATGCAGAGTGTGCCGTGCGATGCAGAGTGTGCCGTGCGATGCAGAGTGTGCCGTGCGATGCGGAGTGTGCCGTGCGATGCGGAGTGTGCCGTGCGATGCGGAGTGTGCCGTGCGATGCGGAGTGTGCCGTGCGATGCAGAGTGTGCCGTGCGATGCGGAGTGTGCCGTGCGATGCGGAGTGTGCCGTGCGATGCGGAGTGTGCCGTGCGATGCGGAGTGTGCCGTGCGATGCGGAGTGTGCCGTGCGATGCGGAGTGTGCCGTGCGATGCGGAGTGTGCCGTGCGATGCAGAGTGTGCCGTGCGATGCAGAGCGTGCCGTGCGATGCAGAGCGTGCCGTGCGATGGAGAGCGTGCCGTGCGATGCAGAGCGTGCCGTGCGATGCAGAGCGTGCCGTGCGATGCAGAGCGTGCCGTGCGATGCAGAGCGTGCCGTGCGATGCAGAGCGTGCCGTGCGATGCAGAGCGTGCCGTGCGATGCAGAGCGTGCCGTGCGATGCAGAGCGTGCCGTGCGATGCGGAGTGTGCCGTGCGATGCGGAGTGTGCCGTGCGATGCGGAGTGTGCCGTGCGATGCGGAGGGTGCCGTGCGATGCGGAGGGTGCCGTGCGATGCGGAGCGTGCCGTGCGATGCAGAGTGTGCCGTGCGATGCAGAGCGTGCCGTGCGATGCAGAGTGTGCCGTGCGATGCAGAGTGTGCCGTGCGATGCGGAGTGTGCCGTGCGATGCGGAGTGTGCCGTGCGATGCGGAGTGTGCCGTGCGATGCGGAGTGTGCCGTGCGATGCGGAGTGTGCCGTGCGATGCGGAGTGTGCCGTGCGATGCGGAGTGTGCCGTGCGATGCGGAGTGTGCCGTGCGATGCGGAGTGTGCCGTGCGATGCGGAGTGTGCCGTGCGATGCGGAGTGTGCCGTGCGATGCAGAGTGTGCCGTGCGATGCAGAGCGTGCCGTGCGATGCAGAGCGTGCCGTGCGATGGAGAGCGTGCCGTGCGATGCAGAGCGTGCCGTGCGATGCAGAGCGTGCCGTGCGATGCAGAGCGTGCCGTGCGATGCAGAGCGTGCCGTGCGATGCAGAGCGTGCCGTGCGATGCAGAGCGTGCCGTGCGATGCAGAGCGTGCCGTGCGATGCAGAGCGTGCCGTGCGATGCGGAGTGTGCCGTGCGATGCGGAGCGTGCCGTGCGATGCAGAGTGTGCCGTGCGATGCAGAGCGTGCCGTGCGATGCAGAGTGTGCCGTGCGATGCAGAGCGTGCCGAGCGATGAAGAGCGTGCCGTGCGATGCAGAGCGTGCCGTGCGATGCAGAGTGTGCCGTGCATGCTGTGTGGTGGTTGATGCATCTGCTGTGCTGTCCGCTGACAACCCGCCCTTGGTCTTTCCGTGTGTCACACCGGGCTCACTTCAGGCGGAGAAGGATGCGAAAAAGAAGGCAAAGGAGAAGGAGAGGAGACAGAGGAAGAAGCAGGAGGAGAGGGAGCGCAAGGTGAGGAGGGGGAAGGGGAAGGTAGCTCAATGTTATGCTTATGACTTGATGCAAGCACCAACGCCACGTGTCATCATGTCTTCTCACCGCTCTGCTTCCTCTTCCACCATCGCGCTTGCCCTCTCTCATGCCCCTTGTCTCGAATTCTTTGCTTGTCTCCTTCACCCCCCCGCCCACCCGCTGCCCTGTCCAGCAGCAAGCCCTCCTCCAGTCCGCACATGCTGCCCCGTCCCCTTCGCCCGCGTCGCCAGCAGACCAGCTGCACGCCATGACCGTATGGCGCCCTGCTTCCTGCACTCCCTGCCTGCTCTCCTCTGCCTGTCATCTTCAATCTCCTCATTCCCTTTTCTCCTCCCCATGCCACTGAGTTGCCTTGAGCGTGGCAGCCTTTCCTTCTCACCGTGCATGCGATGCCGCGTGCAGCCATGCGACACATGCTCACCTCATGTCTCATGCACGCACCACTGCCACGTGGCATCGGTCATGCCTGTAATGCAGGAGCTGCGGGCGAGGGAGAGGGAGGTGAGGGCAGCGGCGGCGGAGAGGAGGCTGCAGCAGCTGTGCCTCTCGAGCGCGCCTGGCGCCACCGTGGAGGCCGCCGCTCCCCCCGCCACACATGCTGGTGGCAGTGGGTGTGATGGCTGTGGTGTGTCGCTGGCAGGGAAGACCCCTTTCTTTCGGCTGACCTACAAGTACTGCAGCACAGCATGTGTGCGCGCACACAAGACAGTCCTTGACAGCCTGTAGCTTTTCCTGTGCTCGCCTGCGGGCGACAAAGCAGTTCCGGAAGTCGCCTGCACGGCTGGCTACACATTCGTCGCGAATTGTGTTGAGGACACTTGTCAATACACTAGACAATGTGCTACAAGCCGAACGTGGATTGGGTCCGTCTCCAACCCTGCACATCCAACCTTGGAACGGAACAGAATATGCTGCTTCCTAGTCCAACTAACCAGATTACATGTGCTTGACACAAACCACGCTCGTCCACCTAAACTGCGGCACTGAGGCACTAGCTAACGAGGGCCATGCTTCTGGACGGAGGCGCACGGCACGGCACGGCACACTTGCTCGCACGGAGCCGTGCGCTGAATGGTGAGCGGGGCGCGAGGGCGGGTGACGGGGCGACACAGTCAGAGGCTGCGGTAGTCAATGACGGTGACCTCGTCATCCGGTGCATCCAAGTCCCGGTAGCTGCAGCGCGCAGGGGGGACACGCACGGCACACACACCACAGCACAAAGTCAACCACACATGCAAGCAGCCTGCTTGCACGCATGTCACGCACACAGCCCGCTAAGGGCGTAAGACAGCATGGTGGTGGCTGCAGTAGCCTTGCAAGCAATCAGAAGCACATGCATCCCAACATACATAACGCACATGCAACCCAACATAACGCACATGCATCCCACGATATCAGCCAACACCTCCATCTCTCCATACCAGCACATGCACCCCATCACAACAGCCCATGCTACCAGCCGTACCTGCGCATGCCACGGGGATCATGCGGTGGCCCTCCCATCATCGGCATCATCCCCATGGGTCCCATGCCCATCCCCATCCCCATCTCCATCCCCATGCCCATACCCATGCCCATGCCCATGCCTCTCATGCCCATGCCCATGGCCCCAAACCTCCCGGGACTGCCATACGGCCCCTCCCGTCCCCCTCTCGGCCTCCCTCCTCCCCCATCCCTCCCCCCTGCCCCTGCTCTCCCCCTCGCTGCTTCCCCCCGCGCCCCTCCCCCGCCCCCAGAGGGGGGAGGGGGGGAGCGCCCCTCCTCTCCCCCAGGCGCAGGGCCGGGCGGGCCGGAGGGGAGGGGGGCGTCAGGAGGGAGGTCGAGAGGGGGTTGTCGAAGGGGGGAGGGGGCGGCGGGGCGTCGAAGGCGTCGAAGAAGGAGGGCGGCGGGCGGAAGGAGGGGTCCCTCAGGATGCGCGCTGCCAGGTCGGGGGGCGCGGGCAGGAACGGACCCAGCGGGCTGAGAGGCACAGGCGGAGGGGGGCAGGGGAGGGAAGGCGGAGTTGGAAGGTGGTGAGGGGGAGGGGGTGGGAGGAGAGAGAATGGGGAGAAGACGGGGCTAGGGGACGAGTGCGCAGAGTGCGGTTGTCGGTGGCACAACGGCAACGTATGGCTGAGGCTGCCTACCGCTGGTGTGGTAAGCCCACATCCCATGCTGTGTTGCCAAACGCTCCCATCAGCCTTACCCCTCTCCACCCCTCACCCGCACCTACCCCGCTGTTTCCTCTCGCACTCACCCCGGCCCCCTTTCCCAACCGGTGCGCGGGCGCCACTCACCCAGCGCCGGGCACGGGGATGAGCACGGCAGGCAGACGCCCCCCAAACGGCCCTCCTGGGCCCCCAGGCCCTGGTGGGCCTCGGTGCGGCAGCATGGGCGGGCCGCGCGGGGGCAGCGGCGGGGGCGGGCCGTCGAACACATCGAACACGGGCGTGGCGTCCAAGGGCCCCCCGGCCCCCCCATCATGATGGGCGGCGCTGGCCCCTCCATGGCTGCGCCCCTCTCGTCAAACATCGGCCCTCCCGGCGGCGGCCCCATGAACTCCCCGCCCCCGCCCCCATCGAACCGCTCAAACCCCTCCCGTCCGTCCTCCCTGCCCCGCCTCTCATACCGCTCCCCCTCCCCCCCCGGCCCCCGGCCCCCCCGCCGGTCGAACATCTCGCCCTCGTACCGCCCCACCTCCCCCTCACGCCCGTACCGGCCCCCAAACCGCTCCCCGGGGAATGGCTCTGAGCCGTCAGGGGGTCCTCCCAGGGCCGGGGGGGGAGGTCCGCCAGGGCGGTCGAAGGGCGCGGCGCGGTCGAAGCGGTCGGGGGGGAAGGGAAAGGCGTCAGGAGGCGGGGGCACCCGCGCGCCCAGGCGCGCAGATACAGGCACCGGCGAGTGCGCGTACTGGCCGCGCTCCCGCTCCCTCTCTCTCTCCCTGTCTCGCTCTCTGTCCCTGTCGCCGTCCCTCTCCCTTCCCCTGACAGGGGCGTTAGGGTCACTGCACGGGAGAGAGGGCGGAAGGAATGGCAAGGAGGTTCAACTCAACCACAGAAGAGCAGCGAAAGCTTGCGGTGCATGCAGAAGAGCGGCAGGTCAGTTGGTTGGGATTGTCTAGGTAATCGGACGCAGGGTAAAGAAGTGGCAAGCAAGGGTAGGAGAGATGAGGGAACTCTGAGAACTTAAACCCACATGCTTTCATCCAACAAAAACACCATGGTCATCAAGCAAACACCACAGCGGCGAACAGCATATCATGTTGTTGCACTCTGACCTCGTCCACTCCTTCACTTGATCACGGAATCAAGCCACACACATTCCCCCCACCCACGCACTGCCCATCCGACATCATTCCTCATCATCTCCCCATCCATGGGTAATGAGTCGATTTTTGAGTCGACTAAAAAATCGACTCATTACACACGGATTATACACTGAGAGAATTATTGTCGCATGGAAGGCTGGGCGTAACTTGCAAAAGTTACTTGTTCGCACGAGACTCCCTGAGCACCAGTTGGCGAGATGTGGGTTACCCGCGACACGTCCTGAGGAATGAAGACCTGGCACCTTGGAACTTTCCAGGGTGTTTTGGATTGGCTGACCAGATTTCAGTCGCCGTTGTTCCAACCTTGAAGTTGTTGTTCTCGTAGCGCAGTTTTTTGTTTAAAAGCTCGCTTGTAAACTCATTTTTATAATTCCACCAGCACTGATGAAGGTCTGATTTGGGGCCTGTCCCAGTCAGCCGAAACTAGTTTGCGTTTTAATCTTCTAGTGGAGTTGAGTTCGGAACTTCAAATTCTCGCATCTTAAACAGGGGTATCAATTTACCTACTGTCACTCTTTTTGCAAAAGTTTTTCCTCTTCGCTGCAGCCCACCCTAACGCTTCATGGCCACTTGATCACAGAATCAAGCCACACACATTCCCCCCACCCACGCACTCCCCATCCGACAGCATTCCTCATCATCTCCCCATCCCACACATGCAGCTCTCACCGCATGCAGCTCTCACCGCATGCAGCTCTTACCGCATGCAGCTCTCACCACCTGTGGCGCTCATCTCACCGTATGTAGCTCTCACCACATGTGGCGCTCATCTCACCGCATGTAGCTCTCACCTAGACATGGTTAAATCGCATCGCATCGTGATATATCACATCGCGTTATATCGCATTTTGCGATAGCGATATACTTCAAAAAAAAAAAAGAATATCGCGGCAATGCGATGCGATAATATCGCGCGATATTTGCGATATCGCACTTTTATCGCACTATTTTTTGCGCGATAAAATGCGATAAGCGATAAAAAGATATCGCGCGCGATACTTCACGTATCGTGTCGCGGAATTTCGCCAGCAAGGGGGGGGGACATGGGCGAGGGCCCTGAACTTAGCGAAAATAGATGGTAAGCTAGTATAGGTTTCTCTTGCTGAATGGCGCGCGGAAATGGCAAGCGGCAGTTTGGGGGGAGGAATTTGTGTGAGGAGCAGAGCTTGGAGCACATTAGAGGAAGGGTTGGAAATTCTAGATGGGAAGGAGTGCAGTGTGGTTGAGGGAGGGGAGTTTGGTGGGGGTTCAAATTTGTTATGGTTGGTGGTGGACGGTGGGCGAGTGGGTTTTCTGGATGGGATGTAATGGTGTGCAGTTGAAGGGATTTAGGGGGTTGGACTGAAATCTCCACCCCCAAAGTCAATTGGTTGGAACTTCAACCAATTTCCACCACTTCAACCGCACTAAACTCCCCTGCATGTACAGAATCCAACCCCTTCCCCTCAAACACGCTCCACATGAGAGAGGGACCACGATATTCCCATCTCCCATCAATTCACTGACCTAATTCCGCGCGAACCTAGGCGAGCCGCATTGTCGTGCCCTGTGGTGTGGGAACACGTTTTTTTAGTGCGGGAAAACAGTGGCCCCTAAATGCGATGCATTATTATATCGCATCGCGCGTTTTTTTTTGCGAAATTTTTAAATATCGCTCCCTAAAACGCGATATGCGATTTCGGTTTTTTTTTTAACATATCGCAGCGATGTGATATCGAATCGCTGCGATATAATGCGCGATAAGAGAGAATGCAATGCGATATCGCATCGCATCGCATTTTGACCATGTCTACTCTCACCACATGTGGCGCTCATCTCACCGCATGTAGCTCTCACCACATGTGGCGCTCATCTCACCGCATGTAGCTCTCACCACATGTGGCGCTCATGTCACCGCATGTAGCTCTCACCACATGTGGCGCTCATCTCACCGCATGTAGTTCTCCTCGTACACCTCCTCCTTGACTCGGTTCATCTGCTCCGCCACCAGCTCGGGGTGCTTCAGCTTGAGGTGCTTCACCACGAACTCCGGCCCGTGGAACAGCTTCGAGCACCCAGCAGCGGAGCACCCGTACTTCCACCCATACTTGTCGTCCTTGATCTTGCGCACCAGCCCCTCCATCGCGCCCCCCATGCACGCCTCCACTCTCTCCGCGCCCACCAGCGCCACCACCGGGTCCTGCCCCCCGGCCCTGCACGCTCGCGCCACTTGTCGTCCACGCGCCTCGCCCACGCCTCAAAGCTCTCCCCCCCCCCCCCTTGCCCGGCCCGCCCTCCCTCTTCCCCTCGTCCCCCTCCCCCTCGTCCGCCCTCACGTGCCGCAGCCCCTTGGGCAGCCCCCTGAGCTCGGAGCCCCCATAGTAGTCGGCGCCGTGCACGCGCCACAGGTACGTCAGCACCGCGTCCAGCACCTCCACGCCCTCCATCCACCGCGCCGCCCCGCGCCCCCCTTCCGCATCCACGGGCGGGATCCGGATCTTGAACGGCTCATCCGCCGACCCCGCCTGGTTCTCCCCAAGAAGGAAGTTCCCCCCTTCCGCGCCCCCCTCAGCGCCCCCCTCCGCGTCCCCCAGCCCCTTCTCCGCGTCCAGCTTCGCCAGCAGCGCCCGCGCGCGCTCCAGGTCGTGCGCCACGCGCGCAGCCCGCCCAGCACCCGCCGGCACACGCGGGGCGGCGGCGGTGGCGGCGGCGGCGTCGTGCGCAATGGAGGGGCGGAAGGAGGGGTTGCGGCGACGTGCGTCCGTGGCCGCTAGGGGGTCACGGGGGTCCGCATAGGGGCCGCTGGGGGGAAACGGGAGGGGGGGAGGGAGGAACGGGGGCAGGAGAGTGTGTGTGAGAAGGGAGGAGGGGAGCTAGGGAATGGCTGCGAGTGAGAGAAAACCACTTTGTGGAAAACGAACGGCGAAATGAGTGGCAGAGTGAGGGAAGAAGTGGGGCAAGAAGCGATGAAGGCAGACGCGGAAGGGACAGAGGGGGGATGACGGGGAGTGAAAACGAGCGTGTGAAATAGGGGGCGGAGTGGGAGGGGGATGGAGGAGCGGCACTGACAGGTCAGCATCGCCGCGTCGCAGGCTGTCAAGGAACTGCTTGCTCTCCAGCTGAGCGAACTCTGTGCGCCTGCCAGGCAAGGGCAGCACACACGACAACACACGCCACAGCACATGCGGCACACGCCACAGAACATGCAGCACACGCCACAGCACATGCAGCACATGCCACAGCACATGCAGCACACGCCACAGCACATGCAGCACACGGCACAGCACACGGCACAGCACGCATGCAGCACGAGGGGAAGAGGTTGGGTGGGTAGGGATGAGCAGGAGGGAGTGAGAACGAGGCAGAGCGAGAGGGGCAGGGGGAGGAGGTGGCAGTGCAGGGGACGATTGGCAGGCGTGAGTGCAATTATGGCGGCAGCAGGGCCGCATGGAAAGGGCGTGCATGGCAAGGGTGGTGGGGGGTGGTGGGTAGCAGGGAGTGGGGAGTGGTGAGGGAGGGAGTGACAGGCAGTGCTGCGAGACAGCATGACAACCAAAGATGGCACATGTTGCCCTCACCACTCCCCACCACTCCTCACTCCCCACTCCCCATTCCCCACTCCCCACCACTCCCAACTGGAGGAACTGCTTGCTCAGAATGACAAGGTCCGGTGCTCACCTGTCGACAAGGCTCTCGAGGCGAGCCGGGTCGTACAGCGCGCGCAGCCTGGGGGGCGCACAGGGAGGGAGCAGGGCGGAAGGGAGGACGACGCTGGGGAGGGGGGCGAGGAGACACAGAACGAGTGGCGGAGGTGGACGACTTCACGTTGACGGTGGAGCACGGGCGCTGCAACAACGCACGCCAGCCCGTAGTGCAAGACACCAGCACAACCAAAGATCGCACGCGTTGCCACTCACCACTCCCCGCCACTCCCCACCACCACTCACCACTCCTCGTTCCTGTGCTCGTCGAAGAACGCCTTCTTCTGCGCCGTGACAAACTTGCTCTTGTACTCCCCGTACCTGCCACCGGGACCAAGGGGAGCGGGTGGGGGGAGGTGAGCGGCGGAGCGTACATGAGGCAAAGGGAGTGCAGCAGCAGAGTGCACAGAACGAAAGCTGCACAATCACGCCACAACCAACCCGCACACCTCTTCTCGGCGTCAGCCGGCGACACGTCATCATCCAGGTCAGCAATGAACTGCTTGTACGTCAGCAGCACGTCCGCCGGCGCTGGCCTGCTGCCACGCAGGTCAGGCGGGAGAGAGGCGGACGAGAGTGGGAAGGGCGCGGGGAGAGACAAGGGGGAGAGAAGTGGGCGATAGCAGGAGGAGCAGGGAGAGAGCGGGGAGAAAGCGGGGAGCAAGGGAGGAGAAAGAGGGGACGGAGGCGGGAGAGAGCGGGGAGAGATGGAAGAGAAAGGAGTGAGGTTGGGAAAAGGGGAGGGAGAGTTGCGAGAGAGAGCGATAGGTGCGAGAGAGGTGGGAGAGAGGGGCGACGGGAGGGGAGAGGGAGGAGAGAGGGGCGAGAGAAGGGGAGGGAGGTGTGAGAGGAGGGAAGAGCAGGGGAAGACAGATGCGTGAGAGGCGGAAGAGAGGGAGGAGATAGGGGAGAGAGGTGAGAGAGAGGGAATAAACAGGAGTGGAAAGAGGCGTTGAAAGAGGAGGCGTGAAAGCACACAAGCCAGTGAAATAGCAGAGCGTTTTAGAAAAAAATGCACCGCAATTGGAAAGCTGCCCCGTGTCCAAACAGTAGCGAATGTAGGCAAGGCATAACAACGAGCCCAGAGGGGCAAGAAGCATGAGAGGCGCAGCATGAGAGGGCAGCGTGCATTGAATCGCTGGCCGCCACCATCTCGACCGTTGTGAGCACGCTACCTGCGCGGCGGCGCATCACTGGGCGCGTAGTGCGGCGGGTACGGCGGTGGCGGCGGGGGCGCAGCGCCGCCTGGCAGCATGTCATAGGCAGGCGGCCGCCTGTAGCGATCAGGACCTGGTGGGGGCAGTGACGAATTGAACGAGATGCAGTTGAGCACGGTTGGGTGCGGAGAAAGCACGAGGAGAGTGGAACACGCACGAGCCAATCGCAAGGGACTCAAAGGCAGTGGCTCCACAGTGCAGCACGCGCCTCCCAGCAACCCCCACTCCCCCCGTCCCGCCGTCAACACCTCGTCGCCCAACCCCGCATCCCCACCGCGCCACGCGTACCTGGCGGCGGGCCGGGCGGGCCGGGCAGGCGCGCGTAGGGGTCGTCAGAGGGGAAGGGCGGCAGGGCGCGCGGGGCGTCGTAAGGGTACCTGCGGGCGGCGGGGAGAGGGGCGCGAGACGGCAGCACGGCGAGAGCGAGAGAAGCAGAGCAGTGAGCGCCGTCAGGTTGACGGTAAGAGTCGTATTCCGGGGAGAAAAGACGGGAACAGGACAACGAAACAAGGAAGAGCGCAGGAATGCGCGATCGCATGCAGCGGGATGCGCGATAGAATGCAGCGGGAATGGAAGGCAAGGCGTGGAGGAATGGAGGAATGCAGGGGTTCGCCGCACACAGCATGACTTGCCTCCGAGGAGCGCGACGCCCCCACCATCACCACCACCAGCGCCGCACGGCGTTGCGAGCATTGCTGGGTGTCAAGCTGACCGCTTGCACAGCTAAGTATTATGCTACTCCTACTTGTGGCTAGTGTGCTAAATCCAAAATCAACTCCTGCGTCGAGGGACTCGTTCCGTCAGCTGTGAGAGGAAGCTAACCTAGGCGAGGTGACGAGAGGCCAGGCGGGAGGCGTGGAGGCCATGGGGCGAGAGGCAGTCGGCACGCTGAGAAAAGGCGGTCTCAACTGAAACCTAGATTTAGATTGACTGGAGCGGTCGGATTGAAACAATGAAATCTGGCGGTTCACGGCGGATCAAGAGACAACAGACTAGCGGACAGCCATGCTCCTGCGGCGGCGCTCAGAGCCTCTCGCAGCGGAGCCCTGCACGAAGCGTGAGAAGCGCGTGAGCCGCGTGGCGAGAGCCAGAGAGCGGAACAAGAGGTGGATTCCGGGCGCCGCCGATGCACGCGTCAGCGCTCAGGTAATTAAGCCCTGCTCACCACGCGAATGGCTGTTTCTGCGTTTAAGAAAAAAGCGAAAAGCAATTGCACGAAAGCGACGGTAGTCCTGACCTCTTCGCAGGGGAGCCGTATCGCGGCGAGGCTCGGCGGGGACTGGCGCTCCGCCGCCTCTTGTAGTCGCGCTCGCGATCGCGCTCCCGCTCCCGATCGCGCTCCCGATCCCTCTCCCTCTCGCGATCCCTCTCCCGGTCTCTGTCTCTATCGCGGTCTCTATCCCGGTCCCTGTCCCTATCGCGCTCCCTGCCGCGCTCCTCGTGCCGCCGCTCGTGCGAGTCGCTGTGGCGCCGCTCTCTCTCGTCGCCGCGCCCGCCCGCTCGTCCCGCGGCCGCGACGAGCTCCTCTCGCGCGACCGATCGCGCTTCCGATCCGACGAGGCCCCGCGCCGCTCCGCATCGGGCGGGGAAGTCCCTGACGCCATAGCGCCGAGGGTGGGAGTCGCGAGTGACGGCGGAAGAGCGAGGGAGTACGCGAAGGGGAAGCAGTGTCTACTGGCGAGATTGGTGATGGAAGCCGAAATGAGAGGCACAGGGAACAGCAGTAAGGGTTTGGTCGAATCTGCCCCAGGCGATGGCACGAAGGGCCTTTGCTGGGAAGAGCCCTCTGTAATGTCAGGGCGTCCCACGCGTACGTTTGATTGCGGTGGGGTGATGCTCTCTGAGTCAGAAGGTTCTTATAACGATGTGAAATTGTTGGGTACAAATATAGGCAAAAAACGTACGCGAGGGACACGCCCTCAGAATGGTAATGTTATCTAGATACGTTAAGTTATGACATAGGAAGTGTCAATGAAATATAACGTGAGAATACAAGGTCGCTATTGCAATGAAGGCACGAGGTTATATAGGGGTTGGCGTGCTAGGACGATAACCTCGGAACGTGGGTAGCAGGGCTCGTGCTAAGGTTTTGGGGGACTCTGTTTCTTCCGGAATCCCCCCCCCCCCCCCCGCGGGTCTGTTTCGTCCTGATTGGAGGCTCCGCGATTTCTGTTTCGTCCGGAATCGGGGTTGTTGTTACTATTAACCGAGTTTCGGGTACAGTGTACTCGGATAAGAATACGTAACCTTTCACTACAGGTTGGACGATACATCAAAGCTTCTACAACTTGACTAAGCATGCATGCATAGCCTGCAGAGTGCACAAACTTTGTTGAAGCTACCTACATTCGTTAGACAACATCTCTACAAGCCCCGCCTACACAACTAAACTAAGCCACACGGCCAGGCAAAAATGTTCACATCTTGGTTGCATCCAAGCACGGGCGCCGCTTCTTGATACCAGTGAACGTGTTGTACATATCAGAAACTGAGAATAGAATGATAGATAGAGTGTACACACAAATATACCTAAGTGTTGTACTCTCTAAGAGACGACCCTATACAGTCTATACAAACATGACAAATACACATGTTTGACACACCCCCTAGACTACATAGGGGAATGCTCTAAACAAACAGCTCAGGGCGGCACTACTAGTCCAACCTCTGAGACAAGGGTCTGAGAGACCTGTCAGAAGGAGTACAAACAAGGCAAGAACAAGAGCAGGGCGGCACTACTAGTCCAGCCACTGAGAGAGGACACAAGTCCAGTCTGAGTATACGTATAAAGGACAGTACAAAGTCAAGGTCCTAGCAAGTGAGAGGCTACTGGAACTAGACCAAGCTGTACACAGTGCCGCTGATGATCTTTAGGCGCAAGCGCCTTCGTAAAGATATCAGCCGTATTGGCACCTGAGGCCAAGTGTACTACGCGAGCCTGACGTCGCTGCTGTAGCTCACGCAGGAGGAAGTACCGCAGCTGAATGTGCTTTGCTCTGCCCTCGAGTCGAGGCTCCTGACACAGGAGGATCATGGCCCTGTTGTCAGCGAACAGGACCGGGGCAGAGCTAGGCCGCTCACCTAAGTCGGTGAGCAAGAAGGTCAGCCAGCGAAGCTCCTGTGCCGCCATGGCACCAGCGTAGATCTCAGCCTCACAGCTGGACTGCGCAACAGACGAGGAGCGGGTAGCTCTCCACGAGACGGCACCTGAGCCAAGGCTGAAGCAGTAGCCCTGGGTAGACCTGAGTGTCTCAGCGTCGTCTGCCCACGAAGCGTCTGTGTGTCCAGTAAGGACCACTGGCCTGCGTCCTCCTAGCACTAACCCCATGCCCGATGTACTAGCGAGATAACGCAGAACCCTCTTAGCGACAGACCAGTGCTGCGGTCGGTGCCTGCCTGTGGCCACAAAGCGAGCCAGGATGCTGAGAGGGTATGCGAGATCTGGACGAGTGCAAGTCATCAGGTACATGAGGCAACCCACTAGCTCTGCGTAGGGGCTGCTGGGCTCTACCAACTCCTCAGACACTGGAGCGGAGAGTCTGTGGTCTACAGGCAGAGGGGTGGGCTGTGCAGAGGAGAACAGAAGGCTGAACCTCTGAAGGACCTGGCGCACCAAGTGTGACTGAGTCAGGGTGATGGTGCGCGCAGCTCTGTCCATGGAGATCTGCAAGCCAAGGTAACGGCGCAGTTCTCCAAGGTCAGTGCACGTGTGTCTCTTGAGCAGCTCTGCCTTCACGGAGGCCAGTGCGTCCCTGTCAGCTGTGGCAAAGACCAGGTCGTCGACGTAAACAAGGATGTAGAACGGAGTCTGGCCAGCACGAACGAAGAGTGAAGGGTCTGCGGAAGACGGAAAGAATTGCAGGTCAGCAAGCGTAGCACGGAGAGTGTCGTGCCACTCACGGGGAGCCTGGCGCAGGCCGTAGACGGGGCGCCGCAGGAGCCACTGGGTCCCAGGAGGGAAGGTGCCAGTGAAGCCCTGAGGGCGCCGCAGGGAGACCTGCTCGTGTAGGCTGCCCTGAAGGAAGGCAGTGGAGAAGTCGAGGGAGTGAAGCTCGTAGTCACGCTGAGCAGCTAGGTGTAACAGAACCCGAAGAGTAGTCATCTTCGGGGTCGGAGCGAAGGTCTGGAAGAAGTCCACCCCTCGCGCTGACTGAAGCCTCTAGCCACATAGCGCGCCTTGAAGACAGGCGGCTCTCCAGGAGGGCGCTTCACCTTGAAGAGCCAGCGGCCATCGACTACGTTCACCCCAGGTGGGGGAACTGCGTCGACGAAGGTGCCGGTGGATCTCCAAGATGCCATCTCCTGCTCCATGGCAGCTATCCACTGTGAGGCCTAGGGTCCCGAAGTCGCCTCAGCGTAAGTGCGAGGGTCAGGATGTCAAAGCGTCTGGGTCACCCTCAGGGACTAGCAGCATGGAACAGAGATGGGGAGCAGCCTTGGAGAGGAAAGCAAGCTCGAACTGGCGGTCCTCCAGGACGTCACTGCCAAGGGCAGGAGCACCCCCGACAGACGGAGGACAGGCAGGGTCAGAGACCAGAGCGGAGGCGTAGTCAAGGCGGCGGGTAGAGGCGAAGTCAGCGACAGCAGCGACAAGAGCGTCAAGGCACGAGGTCGGAACAGACGGGTCGTAACAGAGAGGCAAGGACCCGAGGAACAAGGGGACGAGCGGCACGAAGGTAGTCAGACAGCGGGGGGGTGCAACAACAAGAGAGGACGGAGGAGGCGACGGTAGAAGAGGAGGACGAGACGCGTGGGAACGAAGCAACATAGGGTGGGAGCGCAAGACAGGCGAGGCAGGACGAGCGCGGGAGGGACGGTGAGACCAGACGTGCGACGGAGGAGTCGGGTCAGGAGACAGAGGAGGGGACACAGGAGGGGAACGAGGGGGGAGACGGCCGGGGACGAGTCCGGCGGAGGAAGACAGGGCCGTAGACAGAAGAGGAGGAGACGGCCGGGGAGGAACCGACGCAGGGTCGGGGGGACGGAAGGCCGAGCAGGCGAAGGGCTGACACCGGCGGGGACTGCTCCTGCGGCGGCACAACGGCGACACCGGGATCGCAAGCTGCTCCTCGGCTACCACCGGCACTCTCCACACCAGCACCCCCAGAGGGACCACCCCCAGGGCTACCGAGAAGAGCACCCCCAGAGTCAGCGAACGGTGCTGCGAAGGCGGCGGTGGCGGCGGCAGCGACAACGACGGCTGCAGCGGCGGCAGAGGCGGTGGAGGGGGGGACTGGGGAGGGGGACGCTGGGGGAGGGGCGGCCGGCGAGGACTGAACAGGAGGGCCACCAGAGTCAGAAGACTCCTCAACCGGTTCCACCGACGGAAGGGGGGTGACGTGGGACACACCAGAGGGGCGGGACGGGGAGGAGGAGGAGGAGGGCAGGGACTACCGGGGAAGGAGTGACCAGGAACAGGGGGGGGTAACCGGGGGACCACGGTGGGGGAAGCGCGGTAGTAGGAGACAGACTCGTCAAAGGTGACGTCACGAGAGTGAAAGAAGCGGTGAGACGGCGGGTGGTAAAAGTGCCAGTCGGACGCGTCAAGGGGGAAAACCAAGGAAGACCCAGGGAAGGGTGCGGGCAGTGAGCTTGTCCGTTGCCGGAGGCACGGAACGTGAGCAGGCGGCCCCAGACGTGGAACGCAGACGCGTCACCAGGAGACCCAGTCCCAAAGACCGAGTCGGCGAAACCGTGCGGCTGGCTGAGGGTGCGGCCACAAGTTAAGCTGGTGAGAAGCGTAGCGCACAGCGAACGGCCACAGAAAATGGGGTGCACCGGCATGGATCATGGAGGTGCGAGCCACCTCCATGACCAAACCGATGCGTCGCTCAGCGACCCCATTCTGCTGTGGGGAGTCCGGTAGGGTGAACGTCTGGGTGATGCCCTCCGCACGACAAAAGCGACCAAGGACACCTGAGGCAAACTCGCCACCACGGTCTGAGTGAAGACGCAAGACAGGGAGACCGCGGTGGACACGCGCAGAGACAAGCCAGGGGATGAGAGCGCCAGGCACGTCGGCCTTGCGCTCCAGGGGAAAGACTGTGGTGTAACGAGTGAAGTCGTCGACAAGCACAAGGAAGTAGCGCTCGACGCGGCCCAGGGACGGGGGCGGGGCCCCAGACGTCCAGGTGCAGGGTCTGCAGCGGCGCGGCGGTAGGGGGAAACGAGGAGGAGTGAGGGGCACGGCGAAGCCGACCCTCGACACAAGGCGTGCAAGGTGGGGCTGGGGAGGAGGGAAACGCGGGGAGGAACCTGGGAGACCAAGGACAAGACCGTGCTGGGACATGTGACGCAGACGCGGGAGCGCAGGGTGACCTAGGCGGTGGTGCCAAAGGAGTCGGGTGAGTGAGGGACCGACAGGAGCAGGCAGCAGCAACCTGGGTAGACGCAGCCACCTGAGGGGCGCCCAGCCGGGGGGTCACGGTGTCCAGAGTGAACAGGCCGGACACCGGGTCCCGGGGGAACGTGGACAGGGGGGCACCAGTGGCGGCCTCGGTACAGACAGCATACCGCTCGTGACCAGGGAACGTAGTGGTGACGCCAAGGTCCTGGAGGCAGCCGACACCAACTAGGTTCCTGGAGAACGAGGGGATATGCAGACCTGTGAGAGAGCCCGAAGGAACCGCCGGACAGGGAAGGGTGGTGGAACTGCGGGCGACCCGGACCGCCGGAGGGGTCAGCAAGAGAGACGGCAGCAGGAACAGGAAGCGGCGTCAGGGTG